TGAATCCTTCATGTCACTCTCGCTTGCGAGGAACCTGGCGGAGAAATGGAGGAATGTTGTGCTGTATTCCGCTGAAGTGTTATTTGCGGAGGCCGAGGCAGCCAATATGGAACACACACGTTTTCAATTTTATTTTTGTGTCATTTCCATCACTGCCATTTGTATGTACATCAAGTGTGTGGGCTGGTCTGAATGCCGCCGCTATATATGCTCGCGTGGCAAAGTATATAGTGTTTGTGTGTGTAAATGGGAAGTTCCAAAATTTTTTCCAATATACTTTCCTACATCGGATCAATTTGGGATTTGTGATTTGAGTAATATGATAGGTATATTTTTCACATAACAAATATGTGAAACAAATTTGCCATGAGTGAAGCGTAGTGATTTTTCTGCGGCAAAGTGAGCTCCATTTATAAACGGAATGTCTGAATGTATATCTGACCTTTATTTGTTATTAAAACTATTAGTAAAACGAGTGAAGCTGAATGGACAATTATCGACTCAATCTTGACTCTGACTCGCTCACGACGTCTCGAGGACCAGTCAAAATTACACGATGCACGATGTGATTAAATGTCAAAGGATTTATAAAAATACTTATGAAAGGCGTTGCAAAAGGAGTTATCCCATCACTTTTTCCAGGAATCAAGTGAGCATATTGATCAGAGAATAAATTTTCAAAATCCTGTTTCCACTTAATTGTGAGGTTAAAATGGTTCAAATCGATAAGTCATGACTTAATAAATAATGACGAGAACGAATTGGAGCACTAGAATATGCTTTAATGCTTTAAAAGAGCACAAAAGCTTCCCTTAGTTGCTCAAATTGGCAGTTTTACTTGCAAAAATTGTCTCTAAATCAGGATTTTATACTATTTTGGGAACTCCTGTTTAGGTATTTAAACAAAATTTAAGTACAATAAAATATTTGATGATTTTTTCTACATATTACCGCAAGAGGGCAGTAAAGTAGGCGTGGGAAACGCTTCTCATATCGTATTTTTCACATAATTTTCTCTCTTTTCTCACGCATTTTCACACTCTTTTACTTTTTGGCGATATTCTGGCCAGGAGAAAAAGACATTCGAGCGCGAGAATGAAGCTTTTTGTGTAGAAAATCCAGGTTTCATCATCAGGTGATCAGCTGATATAGTTTGGAAGGCATGTAGATATTCCGACGGTATTTGCAAAGGCAAATTTGGCAATTTTCAGAACCGTGACTAGAGTTTTTGAATATTTTTATTCAAATTTTGATTATTAGTAATTAATTAGTCATAAAATTCCAATATTTCACCTCCGAGTTGCAAATTTGACAATTTTTGCTTATTAATTAATTCTAGCCGAAGGTGTTTTTTTCCCGGAATCTGAATTTCCGTTCATTTGCTATTCTCTTTTGGCTGATTGTATCGCAATAATTTGTCATTTTGTATAGTTTCTGGGACGAAATTTGCAATGCCCCGAATGTGTGATAAATTTACAGTGTATTTACATGCGTAATGCGTAGGAAGCTAGTATGCAAATGAGGGATACAAATTTTCCGGAAATTCCACTCTCTTCAGGAATATGATATTCAATTTGGCGCACATCCATATAATTTAAAATATGTATGGCTGTATATAAGATCATACAATGCTACTTTGTAGGCAATAGAAAATGCTTAAACAGATAATTCATAAAGCAGGAAAACAACCCAATAAAAGTCTTGTGGGCGAGCAACAAGGCAGAAAAATCAAACAGCCAGAGTGAAGAGGACAAGTTGAATGGCACTATAAAGCTTCATCCTCCGGAGATACATTCTTCTCCAGGCAGCTCAGAAGTAGTCATATTTTTTCCTGCGACTTCCATTATCATAGAAATGTTTGTAACTTTAGCCTTTTTCATCTCTTCTTCATTCTCTGGCATCTCTTCTTTTACGAGCGCACACACAATACAGCAAAACTGAAGGGACACAATAAGTCGCCACAATTTTTGTCTTCCTCCTTCTGGGCGAGAAGTGGACGTGGAATTTCATTTTGCTCTGCATAAAGCAGCAGATGAAGGTTTAAACGCACGAATGGCAGGACAGAAGAGGACTCTCGCGAGCTTTTTAATAACCGCTGCATGGATGACGAAAAACTCGCGAGGCGCGAAGGAGGCAAAAATTGAGGCCACAAGTGAGTGATTTCTCTCGCGATATTGCGTGTCGTCGGCATTTTTCTTGTGCCGATTAGTGGGGTTTTTGGATTGTCATGCATTGCTGAATGCTTTCCACGGGGCTCAGCAATCAAAAGACAAGGTGTGGTGAAGATGGATTTAAAAGCCCTCACAGTCATGTATGTAAATTTAAAGCAATTAACATGTCAACGCTATTATTATAAACGAAATGCGCAAAAGTCGTTCCTGACACGCTGGAGATTTTCCTAGTGTTTGTTATTTTCATAAATTCTCCCCGGGTTTTCGCTGAGCCCACACCCAAGTTTTCCCGTCATCATCTACAAGAACTAAAGAATAAAATATGTATAGCAACCGAAATTCGCGGTAGACTAAGCAGGGAAAATTTACATTCGCAAATTGAATTTCAATTTAATTTCTGATCTTGTATATTAATTATTCAGTCCCGCGCGCGGTTTGACTAAGGGATGATAAGGGAATCTGGCGATGCAGGGAAAGTGTATGAAAATAAATCTGAATGAATGCGAAGGGGACGCACACAGTTCATTAAGAAATTACATAACGAGCTGATGTCATTATATCCCAAAGGTACACGCTCACCCAGCTAAGAACCACGATGACGGAGGGCAAGTGGGAAATTCTGATGACAATGGAGAAAGGAATAATAACGATAAAGGCGCGGTGTAATTGGACGATACTCGGGTGTGAATGTAAGAAGAAATGGTCTACGCATCTTGTGTGAGGAACAAAACGGCCGTATTAATGAATCATCATCATCGTAACACCGTCATTAGCAAAGAGTGCCTATTGTAGACTCCACTGCACCACGCCAGGCGCAGAGGGTGTAAATTGATTGTGAAGACGGCATATTCGTCTCCATTTTCTCGCTAAACTATTCGAGAAACTTCTCAAAAATAAACTGTGACTAGTCTTTGAGATTTTACAAGAATTGCAGCAACAGAAATGCTTAAACTTGATATTTGGAGCGATTCCCACTCAAACTGAAGAATGTTAAACTTCAAATATGTTAAAGTTTACCATCCGAAACAGATGAATGAGAAAAAGTAGGCTTTGCTATTCCTTCTAAAACAGTGTTAAGGTATTTTAACCAATTTCGCATTGTGTAAAAAAGGAAAAAATTGTGAAATTTCCCAAAATCATAGAAATACAAGTAAAAATTTGTAATTCAGTGGTAAATTTCTTTCATGTTGTTGCCTGAAAATCACAATTTTTTTTTATTCTTTATCTTACGATTACTGCTTTTAATCTGTTCATCTCAAGATCGTTTCAAAATAGCATATTCTAGCGGTACAAATTGTCTTAACATATGTAAACCAGAAGTCCAAATAACACAGGTGAATTTTTTAACACAGGCGATGATTTTTTAACACAAGTGGTGAATTATTTTTGACACATTCGCCATATAAAGCCTTAAAAGTGTGACTCAAAATAGTAAAGATTGTTTTAAATTAATGAAACACATTTTTAACATTCCTTGTTTCAGTGAAAATCGCTCCAATTACTCTCAACTAATGATGAAATTCAATATATTGTTGAAATAATAGAATTTATCAAAACAGTTCACGCGAAACTCAGCGGATTTTAATGAACAAATTAATTTGTAAATAAACATATAATAATTCTAAATATCGAAATAAATACCTATGATTGTTTACATAAATAAACAATTCAGGAAATTTGTAGTTAACGTGATGACTTTAAAACTCATTCAGACCATTGCAAATTGTATCTAATATTGACGCGTGACTTCAGGATGAACCACTAATTTATGCGGCAATTGTAATTTAATGTATGCAAGTTTATTAAACAGTGGAAGGCAGTAAATGACTTTTCACCTCATTTATGACTCTTTCGCTTGTATTTCAAGAGCTGAACTACTCGCGCTCCTTCCTTGGTCGCCGTCTTTCCTCCAGTTTATCTTAATCGCATGCATAGAGCCTCGATAGTGAGCGCCGCGCGGAGGGTGGAAAGTTACGGAAACCCCATTAAGCGTTTATGAAATTCAAAACTACGTAATTGAGTTCTAATACGAGACTAAAGAAATGAGATTTTAATCAAATTTACATCTAAAGTAAAAACGTCAACTCGCCGTTTCACTGGCACAATATAACGCGAGGCTACAGAGCGTCCTGGCCCAAAAATCTCACCCGCGTTGACACAACATTGAGTGGCGACTATGTACATCCCTCGGCTATCTATACAGGCCATTCTTCTTTGTGTTCCCGGCGCGCGTCTCTGCGGGATGAGAAGGTGAATTGAGATGTATAATAAAGGAATTTGTCGATGGATTTGCAAGCAGTGAAAAAAATGGAGAAAAGGGAGACGAAATTATTTAATATTGCTAAGTGCGCAGACATAAAAAACTTGTAAAACTTTTAATGGTCACAGAGTCTTGCGGGTTGGTCGGTTTATTATTTTCTTATTTGAGGTATATGTGATATTCCGTTGGACCCCAGCGTAATCGCGGTGCGGGGCAAAAGTGAAATTTTATGGCCAATCAAATGCTGCGGGCGACTCTTGACTTCAACCGTCACACATAGCGTTATGCAAATTCATTGGAATCCATCCGAAATGTTGTGTGTATGACAAAGGCAGTGGACCATCGGTGGATGGACTGTGTGTGCTTTAAGGATGTGTGGCTCTATCGGCCGCTGTGGAGGTTCTGGCGCTGTGCTTTCGCGGGAGCTTTGCGCAAGCTCCCAAGTCCTTCCCTCCGGTTCCCAGTGAACGGCACAATCACGGACAGAGGGAAGGGATCATGCAGAGCGAGTGCTCCTCTTCGTGAACAGTCAAAGTTCATAAAGTTCATCAGTATTAAACTGTGTGTTGGTGCGCTCGGACCGAAGTGGGCCAGAGTGTCCTGCCAACACCTCAGAGATCATCCTGAGAGCGATTCCAATTCTGTGTCATCAATTTCACAAGTCAGTGCACAGGATTCTGTATTGCTACTTAAGCGATATCCACGGAATTTTGACATTTCTCTGCGAAGCACAGGCGGAGTGAAGAGTTGATGGGCGAGGATAACGGAATTCAATTTTCTTTCCCAATGACCAAAGGGTGAAGCGGCCCGCTCGGACGCTAAGAAGTGCGCTCAGGAGGTGTGGAACTGAATGTGTGTTTGATAAACGATACGCAACAATAACGGTTGGCTTCACACGAAGAAAGTGTCAAGTGAAATGCTAAGAAGCAAATAAATGAGATTTATTTCGAGTGTGGGATTATGGTAATGGAGAAAAAATAAACTGACACACAAGAATGTTTTAAATTCTGCGCTGAATGTTGAATTGTGGGGTGAATTTTGTGTGTTTACTTTGCCGGCAAGAGCGTCAACTTTCGCAATCTACACATTAGTACATTTACTCGCCAGTCTAACATCATGACTAAATGCCACCAAGTTGACGTGGCGATGATGATGGTGATGGAGATGACGGTGGTGCGCTGAAGTGATCATATCTTCCCGATTGGATTATGCTTAATGTTGGGAAACACTTGATAAACACTCTGTGGAAATGTTGTGGATTACTGTGCTGATAATTGGAGATTTATTTTCATTCACTCCGGGTATGACAATGTTTTCAACTCACTGTTGAATTTTCATTCGCATATTTCTTTAAAATAATAACGTCCTCGGAGAGAAGGAAGCTCTCTCTGCGATGAAAGTCGCGGAGGAGCTTTTTTCCCAATACTCTCGAGGCGCAAGAATTCAAGTCAAGTCAAGGGAAAAACTCACTTGCAGAGGGTGGGAAAAATGATCGAATTGGCATAAAAAAGTTTCCGTGTACTTTGTGATTCGCTTGATTTTCATTTTAATCATCATAAAACGTAATTACACTACATCATTTTTATGCTATTCCTCTGCCTTGGCGCGTCTCTGGCTACGAATGGCGCAACGTCGAGGGGATGCAGTGCATTAATCAGACGTGAAACATGAAAATTGATCCATTTTCTCTTCATTTCTCAATTGTAAATGACTGCTGAAGTTCTTAAAACGACCCTTCGGGCATTATCACTTGCTCCCTTCGTACGTTATATCGATTGAATGCGGAACGTATGTCGATGTGAACACATAAGTTTGGAGTGTACATAAAAATTGATTTTTCTCAGATTTTCTACATCATCAGGTGCTTCGCTTGCTATACATTTAAAGTGCTTAACTGTTGAATTTGCACATTTGAGTGCTTTCTATTCGCCGTGTTGCGCGGATATTTCGCAATTTTGAACGCACCTCGCGGGTAAAGTTATCTCGTGTGATATTAAAAAATTTAAATATTGATTAAAAAAGTTTTTCGAATCCCTCAGTATTGAATGGCAAATGGTGTTTTATATCAAACGAAAAAGCGAGAAGGTTTGATGCGATGTTGATTATTGAAATGATTTTGTATAGTAAAATTCGACGTCATAATCACTCCCTTTGAAATATTAAACATACATGGGGTTGATTTTAATAAATTATTAGCGTTGCTTTTTAGATAAAGGCCTAAATCATACCAATGAATTTAATATCATTGTCATGAGAGTTGAAGTTCCAGCAAACACACACATTATTCCGTAGCGTATAAAATATGCAAACAAGGAAAATTTTCTATTACAAAAGTCAGATAAAGTAATTTTTTGTGCTGCAAAAGTTTGCGCCAAGTCCAAGTGTATATCTTGCTGTATATGACAGTTCGCATGGCCATGGAATATATTCGTGAAGACAGCAAATGTACATTAAGCTCTGTCTCATTCATTGCCTGTGTCAACTCTCCTGGCCGGACATGCTGCGGTACACGTGCACAAAAGCACCATTTAATTGTACAAATTTCATACATAAATCTACCAATTCGAGCAACACAAGTTGCTCCATTTATTTCTTAGTTAGAAGAGACACACAATCGTGGCCAATACACAAAATATAATTTGCTCAGTGCACGGCGCGCTGTCGACACCCTCTGACCGTCCAGGAAGAAAAGATAATACGCAACCATTCTCCACTGGATTGTCCCGAGGGTCCTGTAAATCTAAATTCTGGCACAACCCAGCAACTACAGCACCGCACAATGTTATATACACGCTCCCCATTATCCTTTTGTATTACGGCCACACAGCGTGCTTGTTATGCTAAAGGAAGAGATCTGTTTCACCTCTTCGCCCACACACGAACACGTTCGGCAAGTACACTGAGTCGTATCCCTTTCACTGTCCATTGCCCGCTCCAAGGGATAGAAATTATGACCACAAGTGGTGTACAGCTCAGTAGAAGTATTGTGGAAGTGATCCTATGTTTCCAAATTGTGCGTTCACAAATCACTTTCAAAAGAAATGAAACGCAATACTTAGAGAAGAAGAATTGTTCTTTACCACCTTTCTAGGTTATGTTAGTAATTTAAATTAATTTTTAACACTAAATAACCTCTAAAATCTTTCATTCTTGCGCTTAAACTGGAGAAATTTGCATTTACTGGCACAATAAGAAAGATATCTGATGAAGATCACAAGTTTCAATGTTAAACTGTATTAATTGTACTGAGATTGAACATAACCTCTAAAATATTGTTTCAGGATACAAAATTGACTATTTTAAGAGATGTAATTTGATTTATTTGATTGATTATATGTCTCAAAAAGTAAATTTTAAAACATTCCGAGTAAGTTTCTTTCAAGGATGATTTTAGACATTTCAAGGTAATTTTTAGGTTATGATCCAAAGTTAATTCAACGATTGAAAATTAAATCACATCAAAATATCCACTGGAAACTTCAAATATTTCTAAAATACTGTTTCTCAGTGAGTTTTCTCAGGGTTATTCAAATTAAAATTGCGTCTTTCTATGGCAAAGACTCCTAAATTTGAGTTTATGATACTTAAAAGGAGTAGAAAATAAGGAATACGTGTCTGTTATTCGTCACATAGCCTGTGAAATTGACAGGAAGTGGTGTACAGTGTTTAGCCGTGTTATCTCCCCCTGGACCCGTCCGCACACAGAGCCGCTGGGATCTCGTGGTGCCAATTCTGCTGCAAAACAATTAATTGGACGCCACGGAAGAGGAATGGTTGGGGAGAGTTAATTGAGTCATTTAAAAATACACATCCACGTGATATATAAAATAGCAAACACACACACACTCCACGTGGTTCAAAATATTTACCTTGCGAATCTCACACCGCGTCTGGCATTGTGCCGTGCAAATGGGGCGCAATTATTTGATTTCCCCGGGAGAAAATGGGCACTCAAATTTCCCCACACATATATTATTTGCATTTTTGGTGGCGGATCGCCGAGTCGCTTGGCGGAATGCAGATTATTTCCTTTGCATGTGAAAATGATTTCATCTAGTCATGCTAAAATAGAGTCCATCAATTCCCCATTTGCGCACAGCGATGCGGTGCACATTCGCCGCTGGTCTTGCACCGCGTCGGCCGCATATAGACATCACAGACACTGATCACATCGTCGAGAACAACCCATCCGTGCCGTATATTTATTCGGGCATTAATTCAAATTAATGGGGAAATACGGCGGCGCCCCTTCGCCTCTTCTCACCTGTTCCCCGACACTTGGCCTAAGTGGCGACCATTCCGAATTCCCAGTCCACGGCGGATACAATCGGCGACTACACAACGGGGAGAATGTAGGGCAGCTCGGGGCAGATTCTGATGTTTTCATTTATCGCCCTTCAACATCGTTTGCAAATTGTGCACTTCTCTGTGCAAATTATGCATCAGAAACACGTGATAATCACTGGCATCTAAATTAAACTAACATTATTTGATTGATTTATGAATATTACAAGGAATAACGATTTTTTAAGTCTTTCTGCATAACAATTAATCTTGAGCTCAAGTTCACTTACAAGTCCCTAAGAAATGTGTTCATTTATATCTTGAAATTTTATTTGGTTTCCAATAAAATGTTTAGAAGTTGTTGAATCATTTTTTTCCAATTTAATTGAAGATTTCTTGTGGAAATGATTTTTCAGTACAAAAATAAGCTACAAAAATCATTTAACATATTTTTTAACGCAATAATAGTAAGATTTCTTTTAGAAGACATTTTATCTCATAAATTGCTTGAATAGTACATAAATGGAGCTCTGAAATTCATTTTGCTTGAGAAGATAGAGATGTCATTTGGATATAAATTGTGATTATTGAAAGAACTAGCGATATCCGAGACTCCAACCAATAAAGAGGTTCCGAAAGGCAAGTTTTCGACGCTCTAAATCACTCTGCGGAGCTGGCCGGCTCTCCCCAATCGAGAGCTCGTGTGCCACGTACGAGGATGGAAATGAGAAAATGCCATACCGATTTCCCTGGCCATTTCCCCTCCTGCACTCAAAGCACGAGTGCCAATGAATGATCGGTATCTGTACTGACACATAGTGTCGATGCTATTCAACAGACGCTCTCTAAGCCTTCGGGCAATTGAAATAATGAAACTGGTGGCTTTGGGAGTATTTAGTGATTTAAAAATTGAGCACAACAATCTCGTGTGGATATGCAAGGATATCAGGCAGATTCGGGGTGAGCAATTGGGTGCGAAGCTCAAGTTTGGGAGACCATAAAGCGGAATTTATGTGGTACCTTGGTCGAGAGTCTATTAACGATCCACACATGCTGATATTGGCTCGAATAAAATATACTTTTTCTTCAATTGCCCAGCGAATAAATCTCTTAACGAGCATTCTATAGCCAATCCACATCTATAGTGTGCCGAAATATGGCCATTGAAGACATGAAGAAAGAGTGTGTGTGTGTTAGTATAAATATTTGGGATATTCCCAAAATCGAAATACAGTTTTCATATCATTTTATATGTTCATTTTTTGTGATAAAAAAAAAGTTGCTTTTTCACACATAAATGTGGAAAGAGCGTCGTCTCTTGATTTCCTTATGGCATTCCAGTGTGCGGAACTCCCACATTCACCCCCGCCGCGTGTGTCTTACGTTTGGCGATGAGGTCTATCGCGTGCTCTTCACAAAGTTCGGTTACACCCCAAAGTACCAACAACAATTTTCCTTCGTGCACGATTCCACTTTATCCGAAAGTACAGTTTTGTGGGTGTGTGGGAAAACTTCATGAAAATAATATAAAGGATGCAGCTGCGGTGATGATACAATTTTATAGCTTTAGGTGAAGCTCCAACTTTAACCCATAAGTATGTGATGATGAAAATAACTTTATATAGGAAATTTGACTATCCGCAACTTATGAACACAATATCATGGATGCGCTCCTGTAATTGCGGACTTTCAAATTCTAATCCTAATGGCCATCGGCCATCCTGACGATCATACACTTTGCTCCGCGCAATCACCAAGTCCATTTATGCACTTTGCGCGAAGACTCAGCCTTTCGCCGAAACTTCCGACACACTTAATCCAGTTACACTGGGATATTCCGAAGGAATAATGCAGCTATCGCAATGTGTGAAAGAATGAGCAAGTATCTGGCGGAAAGCTGTATTTCACAGGCTTTTCTTCCGCTCCACTCGTGGCAATGTATAGCCAATGCGAATAGGAGGTCGCAATTTACACTATCTCTCGTAAATTCATCCTCCAGCCAAGGCAACAACTCTATGGAATGCAATAAATTTTGAGAAACGATCAATTTTTCCCCACCAATCACCAAATAAACTTTATTGGTGGTGCGCGAGAGAATAAAAATTGGGTGAACATTATTCAATCCTTTAATACCACATCGTGATGGAAATTTTTTTTTCTGCCAATCCATTCTAATATGCAATTTAAATATATAAAATATGTGGTTACAAATTTTCATGCATTTAAGCCCATTTGAGGGCATTTTGCAAAAAGGGTTCAATGCGAGATTTTCGAACAATTCAGTGCTGATGATTAATAGTGTTTTCTTTAAAAACTTATTGGCCAAAGGGGAAAATCACTAGTGGATTTTAAATATTTCAATAAAATAATTGAAATTACAAATAAAAATAATAATAAAAAATTAAATATTTGCCTTTGGGAAATACAAATTGGAACTTCTACATGCCTTTCAAGTTTGAAACGCTGCCCTCTGGCGACTATATGTGGAAAAATATGTAAATATTTCTTAGCATAATCAAAAATGATTGAAAATTGTATCAAAATTAAATAAAAATCACGAAAAATCAAGAAAATTATTGAATAATCACAAAATTAATGGTCTAAAATTGCAAGTGACTTTTCCCTTTTGCGTGATTGTCGAGGAGTTCAATAATGCGAAGTATAGCGAATGATTAATAGTGTTTTTCTTTAAAAACTTTCCAACTTAATTACGGTAACATTTTAAATTGAGCGGAAAATTACAGCTTGTCAAAAGCTAAAAGTTAATCGTGCTTTTTGAGTTTCCATTGTAATATTTGCCATGTAAATAATAAAATATGTGGTTACAGAGTTTTGATGTATTTGTAATTGGTATTGTAAAAAGGTTAAATGTTGAAGTAACATTTTTGATTGTTGACATTTTGTGCCATTTATTTTCATGTGCGCTCTTCCTTGACATGACACAGTTAATGAAGCATTAAAAGTCATCAATCCAGAAGCACAGACTGAGCCATCGTTCGTCTCAGAGTCAGGAAAATACAAATTTGTCACAGGAAATACAATTCTCCTCCCGTGTGACGTCGAGCAAGCAGGTAAAATATCTTATTACGTGTGAAAGTCGAAAGAGCAAATAACAATAAATAAAATTCATGGGGAAAAAGCTACAATTTAAAGTAGAATATATAAAATCTCAGAAGATTCTTGCCAAAATGAGGTTTTATGCCAACTGCTTTTTATGCACGTTCGGCAACATTTAGCGAGGCGGACCGATTTTCCCGTGAATGTGTTATTTCCTCTCACTCTCCCCGCCCAGCGTCAAAAGACACTATGAGAAAAGGCTCTCATATATATAATATGTACTCAAATACCTACACGCATAAGAAGAAATTTTGAAATGTTACTCACTCCTTATGTGAGTTTATTTTCGAGAACTTCTCCAGAGATTTCATTGAATTTATAGCGTTCTCTGAGAACTCGAATGTTGAGCTATCTGCCAAGCAAATGTATTTACTCATGTAAAGTTAAATTAACATTGTATGAGTGGTTATTAGAGTAATAAAGTGGATTTTGCACATTATTCTGTGCACTCTTGCTTCATTAATTCAACAGAAAAAGAAAGATGTCCATTTGTATTTGGAATAAAACATATTTAAAAACAAATTACAACATGCGATGAATTACGCCTTTGAGTACACAGAGTGCAGATTAATGTGCCCCGAAAGTATTTCTCGAACTACCCTTGTTGAATTTATGTGGCAAGGCTGCATATGAATTCAAGTTGCTCTTAAGTTCCAGAGTTAATAATACCATATCACACTAACTACACACAGTGCTTTGATTCTAATTTATATAAAGAATATGTAGGGTGGATTCATAGTTTCTCAACTTGATACTTTCAGTGTATTTAGTTATGTAATTTCCCCCGTAATTCCAGACTCGTATGTCATTGCGTGGAAGAAAGGCATAGCGATTCTGACGGCGGGTAAGTGTGCTAGTAATTTGGCAAAGTAGTTTGCAATTCTTACGAATTCCACCTTCCGCGCCGCAGGTAAAGTCAAAGTGTCTCCCGACGCGAGGATGAACTTAATCAACGGATATTCGCTTCAAATAAAGAACTCCGTGCCACAAGACGCCGGCGTGTACGTTTGCCAGATCGCAACTTTGGACCCAATAGAGATAATGCACACAGTAGATATTCTCGGTGAGCTTTCCATCAATTGCACCGCTGGCCAGTTGTGCTTTTTCACCCTGATTTCGCCACTTAATCTTCCTCCTTCTCTCCACCAGTGCCACCTGTGATACATCACGTGACATCCGGTGGTAGTTTGCAGGTGAAAAAAGGAACGCCTGTGTATCTGGAATGCTTCGCTTCTGGGAATCCTGCACCAAATATCACGTGGACACGGAAGAATAACATATTGCCGAATGGTAGGTCGTAGCATATTCATGAAAACCTCCAAATCCGCCCCTCCTGGATCACCATACATATTGTAGACTCACTGATGACTTGGCTGTGCATTTATACAGCTGATGCTACATTTATTTAAAAAAAAAGTCACCACTTGTGGTTGCAGAATTTCAATGGATGCTCTTAAAGAGAACCATTTATCATGGGAAGATTTGCTCTTTATAAACTTTCTAGAGGAGAGTGGGGCAACTTTAGTTGGTTTGTGCATCACGCACAGAGATTGATGCGGTTTTAAAAGTACTTCTTCAGCGGGAAACTCACTCGCCATTTCAGACCATTAACTTTCTTATTAGTCAATCATCTTGTGATTTTTATTTTAATTTTGGTGATCTCATACAATCATTTTTTCCATTTTTTGCCATTTTCTCATACTATTATTTAACCATGGCCTAATTTGCGTAGTTTAAACACCTCCAAATAATCTGTTCAAAATGCGATATGAGTAGCGATTACTACGCCAACTTTGCTGCCCTCTGGCGGTGATATGTGGAGAAAATAATCAAATATGAAATTATCATTTGATTTATTTAAAATTTCGCCGATAATATTCAATTTTATAATTCTTAGCAAAGTAAAAATCAATATTTAAATATTTTATTAAGGACATTAAGATTCCTCAATAATCGGCTTGTGACTTTCCTTGTACTTTTTGAGTGGTTTTCCGAATAGTTCATCCTCTTTGGCAATTTTGACGAGGAAAAAGCATAAGAAAGAAAGCTGAATGAAATAATTTCTTCAAATTGAAAGCTTTCTGGAATTTTTTACTGGAGAGTTTTATTAAAATCGAACACAAAATGCCGCAAAACACAAGAAATGTCGCTGAGAAAGGTGCAGAGATAATTATGCTGTCTGAAAAACATAAAAAGGGAGTTTCCAGCTGAAATTGCCCCGCTCTTCTGTACATCATTATTGTCAGAGAGTGAAGAATTTGAAAGTAATCATGGTAGAGAAATTGTTATACATGCAACTGCAACACCCCTTCGCACAGTGTTGCCACAATATGCAGAGAGCTTTCATGGGGTGGACATGCTCGTTATTTATTTCCAGGTGAGGAAAAATTATCATCACCGGCGCTAACAATTGAGAACATGGATCGACACAAAGGAGGCACTTATATCTGCACGGCAAATAATGGGGTTGGACAGGCGGCAACTAGTCAAGTGCTTCTACATGTTCTATGTAAGTCAACACTCAAATTAGTTTCAATTGCTGCAAATATTTTCATCTGTCTTCACTGAAAGTATGTGCACATGGTTGTTTGCGTATGTACCGGGCCGTGTGTGTGTGTGTACTCCATCGGTGCACAACCCCTGCCGGCGACGAGGGTGGCTTTCATCTCCACCCCGGCGTCGCAGGCCAGAGAGGCAAGTGAGAGCTTGAACTGAGGGGCGAGACAAAGAAAGAATCCTTTTCCCTTTGAATAGCTCAGTGCAAACAACTCCTTCGGACGGTGTGGTAATTCCATATCATTCGACTTTCCGCACTCAACACAGCTTCACATTCTTCTGTTGGGCAAATTTGCCAGCAATGAGAGGGATTTCGGCGTATCCTTTTGAATAATAATACATCCATCTCTCGGCGGCTCTGCAGCTTTGGCAGAGGATGTATTTGCCAGTTATAAAATATTTAAATATTCATTTACTACTGCGAGCAATGAACACTATAATAACAAAGCCTGACTCTCGTTGCCCAGGAAAAAGGGAGTATCTCTTATCATTGAATTGTAATTGCTTCGGACCTCGAGACTTTGTGCAGATTAAGTGATTACCATCATATTGTCACTTGGCGGGCATCAAAGAGCAAAAGAGGGACGCGCATATTGACTATAGGCGAAAAGGCTCTCGAATAATAAATTCCTTTCAGATAAAACACAATAAAAACACGTCAGCGAAATGGAAAAGTGCTTGTTTCTGTTCAACTTGACTGTTCTATGGGGATAAATTATTGCTTTCGAGGGCAAAGAATAACAATTTTACCGCTCGTCCGAGGATGAGTCCGCCGTTTGCCATCTTATAACATTCGATTCGAGCTGCTGGATTGATGCCATGAGTGCCTTCATTCTCTCTCCTCGTGTTCGCAAAAACAAAGGCACAACACATTACATTCGTGCAATTTGATTTCACTTTTTTCCAAGACAAATCCCAAGGCGAATCCTTTTAAAAAGGAAAATACATTTGAAAATGTTGTGTGGGCGTGAATGGCAAAGATTGGGGAGCATAATGAATATGCAATTAACCTTTGAAGCCTTCCTATTAATTATGTAAGAATTTATGTGTTTTTTCTTCAAATGCAATTTTCAAGGGGAAGATAATATGCCCTAAAAATGTACACAATTTCAAACATTTCTGACTCTTCCAGCACTATTTGCACACTGATTCGCAAAATTTAATAAATCTCTTAAGTTTTCATGGACTTCCTCCGTGAGAATCCACTTAAAAACATTTTTTTTTGTTGTTTTTCCAATCCTAACCTAAAGATCTCACTAAGAAACCTTTAAAAATTCTAGTTAAGAGCTTTCTGGATTACAAAATCATTTGATAAAATTTTCCAAGGAATCTAAAAATGTTGATTCAGAGTCAAAAGTGGCCAGAAATTTGTCTAAATAAACATTTTCTAAATCCAAATGAATATTTTTGAGGTTATGTTTTATCTTTACATAATTATCAGTGTTTTTTGGCATCAAAGCTTCAGAATAGCAATGTTTAAACGTGAGAATCAAAAGAAATCCAAAGAATCGGGATAATTTGGCAGTAAGAAAAGGAACCAGGAAAGGAATATGGTGACTTTTTGGATACTTCCTAACTAACTTTCTTAATGAAGCTGTACATCAGCTCTGGCTGTATTATCTTTCCCTTGGAAATTTCCTAATTTAAACTCCTTAATAATGCTGTATGAAATATCGTAAGATTTAATGACTTGAGATTTTGCAATTTGACTCCCTTTTCAACAATGTTATCCTTCAAAATTATGACATTGTGAAGCTGCACAAAATTTTTACAAGCTTTTTCTCTCTCAATATAACTTTTCAGATCCACCAGAAATCATCCTGGAGCGACCAATTGTGCACTCAAGTGAGGGTCAAGAAGCGATGCTGGTTTGCATTGTACACGGAGAAGCTCCACCTTTGGTGAGTTTGTGTCCATTTCCGTTTTTAAGCTGTACATTTGCATTTTTCCTTGTAAAACCAATGCTTTTTGACTTTTATGGGGAATCACGGGGGAAAAGGACAGCGAGGAAGTTGAATTGGAAGCTTAATATGTATTCCCCCCCCCCTCCCCTCAAAAGAGCTTTGCTTAATGGCTTCCATACAAGAAGATTTGGGAATTGACATCGCCGATGTTTTATTTCACAATTTTCACTGTCCATCAAAGAGATGCGGTGACTATGAACATATGCTCGGCAGATACATTATTTGAAATGGAAGCTCCATGTCTTGAATTTAGGTCGCATATTGATTTTTTCGTACGACGGGCGAAGCGTGGGAGGAGAGAGCTTTTAACTGTTTTCAGTGTCATACCTTCATTCGACGGTGTCACACACGCTGCCGAATGTGAGAGGATCGGTTTCCCACAATTCCAGTCTTCATTTATTGGCACTCCATTCGTTTCAACTTATTAGCACTTGATTTGCGCCCTTAAATATTTATCGCACGGCATTAGCTCGTCACCCTATTAAAGTTTGCCTTGTCTGTCGTTGTATGTTTATATAATGAACATTAGCACCTCTATTCTTGTGTGCTTTCACGGCGAATTACTCGTTTTCTCGGAAAACCTCCCCATTCGAAGCCTCAAACTGAGAGGGTTTCATCCAATTTGACTGATAACAGTCGCTGCATGACTTTTTCAGACTATACGGTCATGCTTTCCATAAGCCACAACATCTCAGCGAATGGAAAGCTCTCTTATTTTTCCTGCGCTGCGTCTCACTTGGAGTGACACGTGATGACAGATAGCAGTAATTCTCAGTGCACGTGCTTCAGGGAAAAATAATATTCCTGCTTTCAGTTCGCTGCCATGGCGTACACACGAGTCGTACATAGATTTGTAATTGAATGTTTACTTTTCTACATATGTGAGCACATAGAGATTTTCCATGGGGTGGAAATAAAACTCCAATGGAAGCGAAATATGCACTCTTATGTGATGTTTTTGTGAAAGCTTTGGCATTTCTATAAACTGGATTTTGTTGAAATTGCAAATAAGATGGGATGCAAAAAAAAATAAAATGTTGAATATACTTTGCGTGTTTATTTGATTATCAATGTGAAATTCGTACTGGCTGGGCGTTCTTCCTTGCAAGAATTCATTTCCGCCGCATAGAAAATGCCCTTGTTAATATTCACATGCCCATGAATAGACGTGAAATAGGTCAGAATTCGAATGGCTCGGAGAAGTTCTAGTCTGGAGAACATAATCACAATCCACTGAGAGAGTGTAGCTGAAATGCAATAACAAGTAGCATTCTTCCCAAGAGAATGAACGTGGCTATACACCATTCATGCTGATATACCTGTGGCGAAGTGGGTCATACAATCCATACCAAATACATTTGAATTATTATCACACAATAAAAGAATTAAATTTTGCATATTTTGGCCATTGAATGCCATTTGATTAGTAAAGAGAATTTCAAAATATTTGCTTCTTTATTTAAACAGAAAGTGAATTCAAACACGCTGTGAGCTCACGGGGAGTTGACAAACTCGATTTGAGGCAAAACTCAATTGAAGGCAAATCACTGTCACTTTACTGCGCAGACTTTCGGCTTTTTACGACTTTCGCGCCCCTAGTGGTATTATATATATCAATATATAATGTTAGGATGAAAGATGGCATTTCACGAGATCTTTCCAATGAGCCCCACATTTTCCAGATCGAACAATTAGAACAGAAGTTATGACCTTTTAAATTTTCAAAATTTGGTCCTTTAAATCTAAGGCCCTATGACACCTAGGTTTTTAGGTGGGGGTTCGTTAGAAAGGTCTCAATTCCGGCTATCACATATTAAATTTTGACGTTGATCCTTACCATAGGAACTGAACAAATGAGAAATATGTGTTTTAAGGATATTCAAAATGGCGATTTACGACGGACGGTCGAAACACACTAAAAGTGTTCCCATTTTTTCGCTATATTTCATCATAATATGCCTTCCTGAACGCTTTTTATTCACTTTTGGAGCATTTTAGATTTCAAGCGTTCACAAGTAGTGTGATTTTCGTGATTTTACTTTTAAATGAACATTTGTTTTGTTTGTACTTTTGCAGGTAACATGGTATATTAACACAATGCAGCTACACACGACGGAGAATCACATCATGGGATCGCGAGGATCGCGACACACTCTGCTGATCCGCAAGGTGAATCTGTATGATTTCGGCAATTACACTTGCGTGGCGGAAAACGATCTTGGGCGCACGAAGAAGATCATCCAATTGACGGGAAAGCCCAAAATGGCGGTTTTCCATTCGCCACCCATCAGCCAATGGGGCGATAGGTCAGTACATTTGACCGAACGCCAACTCAATACACAATGCGAATAATAAATCTCTCTTCACAGATATAATATTTCATGGGCTGTGGATTCACATACTCCAATAGAGGAATTCAAACTATTCTTTAGAAGACTGCCAAAAGGTCGCACAAATGATGAAAATAATGAAGATTCCGGTGGTTTTCCAGCTGGATTCAGTGAACAATTACAGCCTCTTCAACATCAAAGTCAGCAACAGCAGCATTTTGGTCGACGTGGTTTCTATCGGCGAGTAAGTGTCTATTGTACAAGCTGTACTTGAGATGAAATTGTGAAAATTGTAATCTTCCCCGCTCGTCATTTGTTCTCCCATGGCACATAATGCTATTTGCATCTCATGAACAGAGTGTACATGTCCCGTTTCCCATATTGCCGCCGAGCAAAGAGTGTGTTATGTGCACTGTGCGGCAAAACTTTTCTACTTAAAACTGTATTATGTGGTTCCGATGTTCATTGACGATGCTCATGCCATCATTCTTCCTCCCAGTCAAACAGTACACATCATTTGGTGGTGCCCGCGTATGAGTCGCACTGGTACAGGAATGGCCACGGCAGCATCGTCCACTGGTCGGGAAATGATTGGCGGGATGTTATTCTACCCGCCATTCCACTATCGCATCTCTACACGCAGACCATGAGTTATCTCATTCACGGATTGGAGCCCGATCATCAGTACGAAGCTAAAGTGCAGGCCAGGTAAACTCTCGCTTTACAATCCTTGCATAAATATTATTTTCCAATATGCAATTCGTTCTGCTCTTACACCAGAAACCGATATGGATGGAGCGACGTTTCAGATCGTTTCATATTCTCAACACCAAACACAAGTACGTACAGTAAGTCATAAAAGGGAATTACCATATCGTTGGCATTAGCAGCAATTGCACTGTCTGCCTTTTCACACTTTCTCCACGTGGATTTAATGCAATTTGCAAAGTTTACTGGGTGTTATTATTTGTGTCTATCACAGCAATAAAATTATCCACTAAAGCCCCGCCCATTTGGATGCTCCGCCCACTCTTTCGTTGTACTGTCAAAAATAATTGAAGAAACTTATCAAATCATTTGGAAAGTCGATTTTCGAGCAATCCCAATGATTACAATCAAATATATTTGAATATTGATTTTTATTTTGTATTATAATTTGAATATTTTCTCATACAAAAATCAAAAAAAAATTGCTGAATAAAACCGCGAGTGACTTTCCCATTGGAAATTATAATTCCTTGCATTCTTTCATGATTTCCGTCATGAAATATTCGCCTTCTGAAAGTGGGCGAAATGCAGTTAGCTTGAGTGCCGATGATGCCAACGATGTGCCATATCTTCATTTTTCGATTTGTCACACACTGAACGGGAAATATACGTGAGATAATGTGCCAGGAAAAGGGGAAATGCAGATTTTTTCTTCGTCTCCAGGCCACTTTATGCTGTTGATTCAATAGACCAATTTTAACATGTGTGCATTGTCGAGCATTGCATCACATTGTGTGCCATTTGCTGCAAAGAGCACACATAACCATTTTTTGGGGAAAATCGATTTAACTGATTTTTCTCCCGAAAACCACATTCATCGAGAATTGGCATGTAGTTTATAGACATTTATTGACAGTTGTACATTTGAAATTTTTCGCTCCTATACGCCTGAACATCAATTTGTCGGGAAGTTCGATGATGAAAATTTTTTCGTCCGGAATGAAATTTTAAATTTACTCCCCCATTCATGTGCGATCATCTTTGTTTGTCAGTCACAAGCTGGTAATTTTGGCGCAAATTAGAGTGGAAAAAAATTGCATTTTTCATTAATCATACTGTGCTTTTCATTGGCATTTTTTTCTGTGTTCTGCTGCATTTTCAATAAAATCAGCAATCCAATTTTGGGTGGGAAGGTGTTGTTTAGCTGCATGTCGTTCTGAATGCAACATAGTGTGTCACCTGTTTGGCAATATGTTTCAAAATAGTTCAGCACAGAGAGTCTCTATGGCTTTGTGTGGCTTGTCACTAATTTAAAATATTTGGCCACAGCAATTATGTGAATACAATATGGCAAAATTACCGAATACTCTGATTAGGTGAAATAATGCATTGGCCAAATGAAACGAATCAAGCACAATTACACACTAATTTCCATACTTAATTGTACTTTGATTAAAGTTTCTTGACTGTTGTGTGTCTCTTGCAGACTCTGAAGTGCGCGACATGCGATCAACACAATACAATGGTGCGTCCTTTTCTACGTACAGGAATTTCATTTCTACCCTGTTGACCATTATCTTAGGAAACATCGTAGTGATAAGTCATTCACGTGTAATCACATCTTCCAGTACATAAAGTGTATGTTTGTATAGAGGAAAGTAAAATATCACATATTAGCTGAATACTTTATGTTTGTACGTAAATGCAAAATAGATAAGACATTAAGAGAAATAATAATAATTCGCAGAACTGAGTTCTTCAGCATCATTTCATTGGATTCTCTATTAAGCATGCTCGGGATGTGTTTGAGTATGGAAATCTAATAACAAAACGTCTCATGGTACGTCTCGTTGGTCATGGTGAAATATCCCACAGTCAAATTACAAAATAATCCATAAAGTCCTTTAATCCTGAATATAACAAACGTTTCTGGCGCTCGGGTCGCTTGCTGACCACCACGATTCTCATCTGTACGGCTCTCGACACCCGCTGCCTTTTCACTCCACTATTCGTGGAAAGCGTGGCAGAAGGAGAGCTTTATTGTGCTCCACGGACGACCCCAAAAGTGGCTGGGTGTTGTGTCCGAAACATACACTATGTGTAGTTGGTCCTCCGCGGCGGCCAGAATGGGAATTTGTATTGGAGCAACTTTATATTTGAAATGTGACATTAAATACACCACTTTCCGCCGTCACCCCTTTTCTTCCTGCCCAGTTCTGTGTGTGACCCAAGGCTGAGTCGCATGTATTTGTTTTTCCCGGACACTGTGTCGAGGGTCAGAGAGCGCAACACATGCCCAAAAGGGCCACTTTAGGGCCATTACGCAAGGACAGGTAGTAAATTTGGAGGAGTGCGCGAATGTGATTTTGCAAAGTGCAAAATTAAAATTTTAATAAACCCACATGCAAATATACGTCCACGTCCGTTTTGCATTTTTGCCGCATGGCACTTCTCCCTGGATTTAATGCCGCAAGAACGCCTAAGCACCTGCTTTTCTCAGCTCATCCGTGAGATGAGCTTTCTCCGCGAAAAAATCAGAATGTGACAAACCACTTTGTGGACTTTTTCTTCTGTTATTTGCACTGATTTGAGGGAGTGAAAGTAAAGAGTGAAGTTAGGATTTGAACAAGAGTCAGATTTTTGTGATATTGAATTACCAAAATATCAAATTCAATTTAAAAATCAGTAAATAATGAGAAAAATATGTTTTTCGAATAGAAAGAGAGAACATTTGCGTTTCCATGATTTTCTTCACTTCGCCAATAATGATTGAATGTTAGAGATAAACAAGAATTGATCGTTCAATAATTTATTAGTTCGCGATGTTTATTACGTTTTCTCTTATATTTGATGATATCGCACGACATGATATGTAATGATACTCGAAATAATTAATATGTCAATTTCTAGAAACATATCCACAATTTGTTCTCCTAATTTGCCTATTTCAAATGTCGGTACATATTTGTGCCTCTTGAAGCAACATTTTCTATAATTCATAATGTGTTCAGTTAAAATTTCTTATTCCTTTCCTTATTTGCTTACGAAAATACGAGTAATTGAGAAAGGAACGCGTACTTGTATATATAATTATCATATAGTTGAAAAACAAGACTTTGTTCTTCTTGTGACCATTCGAATCCCGAAATCCATAAATTGTATCAAATTAGCATAATATTGCATCAAAATATCACTAGTTTTATGTCAAAAATCACTTCAAATCACATATTATTGTATCATTATATGATTAAAACATATTTTTCTACAAAAGTTAGGTTAGAAATAATTTTTATAATTTGTCATTAATGTAAAAAAAACAAACCAATTGGTTTTTTTTAAATCATGGTAATTCCAAATATAATTTTGTTTCTCCTGAATATAAAAATATATAAAATAAGGTGAATGTAATAAAAGAATTTATGAAATTAACTTCCTGTTAATATGAAAGCTTAAAAGAATTTGTAAATATAAAGAATAGAATAAAAGAAAAATAACTGAAAGTCAAAGTAGAAAATACAGTCAAAATAAGACATGAATAACATATATATTATGTGTAAAATTTGTTACCACTCTCTCCAAATCCACTCTTTGACTACAATTCTACCAAGACTAGCTTTCTTTACACCTTCACTATCGAGAGTATTCAGAAACCAGAGAAAGCTGAGAAGTGAAAAATTGATAAACCAAAGTATATTTTGTTATTTAGATGAATTTTCTCACGTCAATTTTTTATCTACAATATATTTTCCTATGATGTCCAACTTATGTATAGCAATTATGGATGTTTATATGTATTACCATTGAGTAAATGATGTGTAAAATATTTTTATGGATGGTGAAAATAAACATAAGAGCAAATATAGACCAAGTCTTTGGCCACCATTGATTTTTCGGATTGATTTTTAATATTCTTCTCCTAACGCTGCGTTGCAAAGTATATGCGATCACCAGATGGCGAGAGAATTTTATTATGCGTGTGATTATGTATGTTGGCGCCGCAGCATGAATTTGAATATTATGTACATCCAGTACAATGTTTCGTCCTCAAGAGAGCGAGATGTGATTCGGGCGCATGCAAGTGTGTGTTCATGAATATGTAGGGGCCAACAAAGAAGGCTCTTAACTCCAGAAAAACTTTAAAAACACGATGAAACAATTGCGCAGGGATAGAGTCACTTTTCCTCCGAAAAAATTCCATGACGGAAATGCGGAATGACACGAAAACACAAACGCTCTCCCTCTCTACCTCTTTCAATTGAAGGCTAAACGTGGCACATGGGGAACATTGATTGTGGGTGAATAAGAGATGTGGGCGTTGAATTTGCATATTTATGTCCTTACCATCCGATGGAGCTGAGAGCTTTCTTTCTTTCCAATGAGCTTTCAGCTTGTGCCAAACTTTCTCCAACTGCCGTTTCGTCGAGTCACTTCTAGTCTTTCCCACCCAGAGGAAATCTAGAAAAGTACACGCTGTGGTTGCTCTGCGGAGAAACCTTTAATGAGGGTGACATAAATGACTTTATTATACAGTGATAAGTGATGACTGAGCTGGGTACTGAGTCAAGTCCACTTGGTACTGGAAGAAAGCACAGCCAATATGCGGACATTGCGAGGGTGAGAAGCTTGTCAAAATTTATTCTACAGAAGGAATCATGAGACACAGAGCACAATGAAGTACTAGTGAATTTATATTAAAATAGTTTCACGGATTAATTTTCCACATGCTGCAAAACAAGTTGAATCATCAGCGCTGTAATATTCATATGAAACAAGAGAAGTATAGAGGCAAATATGCAGGAGAAACAGGTAAACACACAGAAAGCAGAGTTGCCATTCTCTCCCTGTAGAATGGCGGTCGCGATCTGCTTTCTCATTTCAATGCAAGAAATTACAACAATGGAATGGAAAATATAAGTAAAATGCAATAGTTATTATAGTGACTTGAATGCTGAATTACTGAACATTCATCAAAATTGGCTATAATTTCGTTCCTCTAGATCAAACTAATGCCAGAATAATCTTGCTTATTGTTTACTGTTCTACGCCGTGATAAGAAGATGTGTAGGGTCTCCAATGCTTTCAGTTTTTTGTTGCCCATACCACTTCAATACCACCGAATCGCTTCACTACAATCATCTTTGGGACACCAGAAGCAAAAACTATCATTCAGTTTCGCTGCTTCACACACAGTATTATCAAAAACACCAAGTTTGCTATCTTTCTGATAACGATTTTGCCATCTTACAATGTGTAGAGATATTGTATTAGAAAATTCTCAACGCTTTTCCTCTAAAGTAATTTCATCGATGACTTTGAAACATAAATAGGGTGTACGTGCATTGCTATCTCCTTATTAGAAAACTTTTGAATTGCGTTTATTACGTTACTTATATCCTCCATCCCCATGAGGAGCTCTGATAGAAGGATAACACATCACATTGACTCGGAATGACTATGGCAAGGGAGTGAATATAAAACACACTAAATGGGTATCCAAAAACACGGTCACATATAAAATTAGTATTAAAACGTTTATGTATTCCAACATGAACCTCAGCAGAACATTAACTAGCCCCAGAGTTTCCATTCGTATAGAAAATCACCACAAATTTCGCTCCTTCTCTCTTCTTCCCGAAAAGTGCGGTCTGACAAATAAATCTCTCTTCCGCACTTATATGGACCTGAGAGAGCGTATTTTCTCGTAATAAAGTGAGTTGAAGTAGAAAAATTTTATTACATCCATTTAAATTGTAAATTTTGAATTAAATATGCCACATTCATAATGAGTCAATAAATTCAAAGGAGAGAAAAAGAAAACGGATGTAATAAAGGGAAAGAAAGGACACAGACGTAAGACGGCGAGTGTGTTTATTTGCTTTGTTCACAAAGATTTCACCATCATGCAATGGTGAAATGATTATGATTGCACGTTGGAAGTTGATGTTTTATCACTGTTTCGGATCAATTAGCAATTTTCCAGTCAGTTGACGGCTGGCGACAGAGTTTATTTAAATATGACGATCAGGTTCTGTGTGTGCGGCAAGTGAAAATTTCAGCAGCAATAACACGAAGGAGCATAAACATTCCGTGCATTTAGCAATACGACGAAGGCGTCTCTCATTTGCGAAGGCTCGCACTGTCTCCTATCTTGGCACATGATGCTTTTACCTTTTTTTCCACCTCAACGTGAGGCTCTGGGGTTCGTGCAGAAATATTTCTGCAGAGGATAACTGGCGAGGTGTTGGCGGTGGAGTGAGATTTGGCATTCGCTGCATGATGAGCAAAAGGGACCCAGAATGGCACAACGTGCCCCAAACACTTTGTACACCCCGAAACGCAACACACCAAACATTCTGACATGATGGTTTCAATGAAATTGAATTTTCTGTTTTTTTCTGCAATGACGACGATGGGATGTGATGTGAGATTGGTATCCATTGAAAGTGATGTCCCGGCTTTCTAGGGCTCCACCCATTTTCACGCAAAATTGGGACATGGTGGATGTTTATTTATGTAATAGCTTCGAAGATGGAGTGCGTGACAACAGAAAGATCATCTTCAACGCCTTTTAAATAAATATCATCCCTTGGAATGGAGTTCACAGGAATGGCAAAGAGGAGAGGAGAGAAAAAAAACTGGTGTAAAAGGAGAAAAAGACAAACAAGACGCAAATGTGTTGCAAAAGAAAGGGGGTTCGTGCGCTGTTCTCCACTGTCAAAGATTCATTCAAGCGTGGTTAAAAATTTATTGGTTACTAAATACACACAGCACGTTTTTTGAGCAAGCTGTTGTGCTCCTCATTTTCGCCACTGGCGGAAAGAATAGTTTTCTCGTGGCACACAAGGCGAAATTACACACTCTCGCATCCGGTTTGCGGGGAAGTGATATTTAAAATTCATAGAATTGATGAGTGAAAAATTTGGGCCCAACACACAATACACTCAACTAGATTGCATGTGACGAAACTACGCAAAGTTCAGGGTCGGAGGAAAGTCGGTATGCAGATTTGTGGGGTGGTGGAAAAAAGGGAAAATTCGGTCGTCCGTATGCTTAGAATTTAATTTATTGTATTTTTATTCCTCACGTGCCTCACACATTAATTAATTTTTGCACCAATATTAATGAGACCTCAACGCCGCCGACGTCGTTGTTATCAAAATATATTCTCCACTCACACCCGCTGTCGAGTATTAAATCAAATTTTCCACCTTTCTAGATGGTTTTCTGTGGTTTCTATAATGTGGCTGCCTCGGCTTTCGTGGTTATGTAAATGAATATTGCATGCACACTATAAACGATTTGCTATTGCCATCTTCCTATTCGTGCCAGGCTCAACTATAATTATTTCTCTGCTGTTTGTGCACTAGAGAGAGAGAAGAAAATTGAGAAGATTTGCATTATGCATAAAATACTTTTCTCTGCCTACGCCAAAAAGCATCTGTTTTCTATTGACCATTAACACATCATATATTTTTAGGGCACTTCGCAGGCCTTTAAGATAATGATGACCATTTGAATAATCTGCACAATAATCTCTCTATTAACATCGTCGCATCGGAAATCCGCTGACTAACTATATATTTCACCCATCATTTTTATCGTCCATAGGGGAATGCGGGGATATTGTGGCTAATAAACAATTTAAGTATAAAATAAAATAATTCATATATTTTATTTAGATTTCTTTATCTAAATAATATTTTACGGTTCAATTTTGAAAATATATAGAGTTTAAAAAAAGCAGATAATTTAGCTGAAAAGTGCTAAGATTTTAGCATCCCTCGAGCAAAATGTGCTAAAAGAAAGTATGAAAACGGAACTGCTAAGCAACGGAGGAAACTTAAACATAGCAATGAAAAGCATTTTTTATTCAACAAGAAAACAGGAAGTCTATATTTTCCTTCATCCGGTTTCCCGTGCCATATAAAAATGTGTTTCTGGTCTATAAGACGTCAGAGAATGTGAATTTCTCACTTGTGAGAGTATTAGAATGCCGCAATCCGCCGCCAAAATGACTCAGATCTCAGTGAAAGAAAGCAAATAAATCAGCTTATGTAATCTCAAATTTGAGATCATAGCATTTTATGTTCGCTGAGCATTTTTTGTACTTTTGCAAAAATACTCTGCCAAAATCTACCCTCCATTTCCCTACAATAGAATAAAATATTTGCAACATTATCATATTAATTAATTGCAAATGAATAATTTTTATAATACCAATGCAAGAGTAATAGTCAGCAATAAAAATAATCTCGCAATAATGTGAAGTTTAATTGAAATTGTGCAACTTTTAATTGAATAAAGTTTTATAATTTTAACCCCTTAGCATTCGGGATAATTGGCTCTTTTTCAAATCTCAGTAAAACTTTTCTTCACGGGTCATAATGTGACTGGCATTCTCAAGAGTTGGATTTTTGCTCTCTGTTCTTGAATTGAGATTTATTCACACTGAAACACGCTTATCACATAACTCTAGACTCGCGGTGATTTATTGCTTCCTGCAGCGACGACGGTGTGGCTTGGCAGCCCTGTGAATACCTAAGAAATTGTTTGTTTAGATGTGAAAGGACACGTTTTCTGATATGTCTTATTTTGAGAGAATATTACAACGCTTCGTGAATGCCTCTAAATTAGGGATGCCAAAACTTACATCACATCATATTTATCAAGGACTCCTTCCTCATTCGTGCTATAACGACCACCTTATCCTGTACCTTGACCACATTTGAGGGGTTTCACTGACTTTACCGGACCTATTAAGGACACTCTCTAATTCTATGTTCTGTGAAATTTCGACGGTTCGCTTCTCGGTTGGCAAAACTCTTTTGATGCGAATCTCCTTTATCGACGGACACTTTTC